TCGTCCGGTCATTTCGAAATAAACCAATTATCGGTAATAAAAAAGGCAATAGTGCGAATAATTTTTTAGTTGTATCGACAGAAGAAGTGTAACTTTCGCTCTGCATTCGAAGCAGTCCGGTGTCTCACAAATGAGTGCCAGAAATTTGCTTTTTCGAGTGCATTCATACACTGAGAAAAATATCCAGCGACTCTAATCGGAAAAAACCGTTTGAACATCTTATCCGATTGATTTTGATTGGATTTGGGGCTATCCGATATGAAATAATGGATGCCTTTATCCGATGAAATAAAATTTCCAATGAAATATGAACGGATAATGAGCTGCGATTTACTTATCCGTTTAAATTGATATATAATATGATCGGACATTGCACTTGATCGGATAAAAATAAGGTATTTTTTCCGTATCAAGCTGAATGTCCGATCTAATGTACTATATCCGATTAAAATATTATCCGATAAAGTGTAATATCCGATGAAATACAATTTATCCGTTCAGAAGTCCGATGAAATACATGTGTACACATTTCGAAGTCGCACTGGTAACTCGATTGTGATTGGTCGTGCTAACAGTCGTACCGATGGGCCCAGCGTGCATGAGCCTGTACTCTATTGTCTCGTGTTCGTCATCGAAGCAGCGTGAAGGCAGTGTGACGCAATATTGTGTGCAATATTTTGTATATAATAGTGTATTACGTGTCAATTATTAAGAAGTGAAAGAAATGAATTGTAATACAGTTAGAACTGTTCTTGAAGAACTCAAAGTAGAAGAAGAAGTGATACAAATTAATATTAATATTAATTGGTATATTTAAGGGGAAAATTCCGATCAGATTCCGATTAGATCTATTGATCGGACATAATATAATCGGACTATTCGTTCAAAAAGTAACAAACGGATATTTTCTAATCGGATATTTTTGATCGGTTATTTCAGTCTTCATCGGTTATTTTTTCCGATTGAAGAGATCGATAATATCCGTTTGTTACTTTTTGAATGGATTTTCCGATCAATTTTAACCGGATTTTTCTCTCAGTGTAGACATCGGTTCTTAAAAACGTTTCTCGTTGAAATGTCAACCCGAAAAACGTTAAGAGAAACGATCAAAAAAACGTTTTTTTTATCCACGCGTGAAAAAGATGTATTTTTTCTCACGAAATTAATAAAATAATACCTCACCTCCAATTTTGATAAATTTATACTCATTTGGCGCGTTTTTGTCCAAAACGAAAGAATATAACGGAAAAGGGGCGTTCTGCCTCGCGAAGTCAGATATTAATCGTTAAAGTTGACAACTTTTCAGATTAAGAAAGCTGTCATATGCTTAAAACACATGCTTAAAAGTGACGCAGTGGCGCTCTGTATTGTCAATGATATATTTTAAGCGTATGCAAAAATATTCAATTTACCTTGAGTATATTATACTTGTTTTACGACTTTGTTCTCCACTTATAATAGCACGTCAACGACGACGAAGATATGTAGCCCGCAACGCGACGAAATAGCATCGCTAGCTGCACTTGCCCCCCCCCCTTCTCCTCCTCCTCCCGTTGGGGGGTTCTTGTCAAACCGGAGACATTGATAAGTAGGATTCAAGAATCGAGGACTAGGGTACGAGAGCGCGGAGGATGTTTGGCCTGGGCAAATAGATTTTGCGAGTCGTCTGGTCGTTCGCGTGCATAACAGTTACCTAGAGCAAAGAGCTCGTCTCTCCACGGCACATTTTCGCTCGGCAACGGATGATAAAACGAGCGTGCGTATAGAAGAAAAGCAACAGAGGAGAAAGAGGGAATATGGCAAGACACCGAGTGTAAATATTGTGCACGTGGGCGTCGTGCATCGCGCGGCAGATAAGAATACTGGACCGACAGTGCAGGTGCGTGTGGAAAGATCCTCTCAGCGACACGTTTACCACCTGCAAGAGCGCGTGCTCTATCATGGCATCGAATTGCCGACGCTTATTGTAGGGCAAACGAATCAAAGATCTCTAAAAAACCTCACTGCTAATTTGGTATTTGGACCTTGCCTTATCGACAGGCATAAAATGTCACCACATGTTTTGAATGTTTTTACAAGAAGTTCTCGAACTTTGTATATTAATGATAACGGATTATTCTGTTATTCTGAAATTATACTACATACATCTATTTTTATAAACGCATATCTAATTCGTTCAGTATCATTGTGATACTGTTATATAGTTGAGCCACCGTTGATAACCGTAATATCGATAATAAAATATAGAAATAAATTATTAAAAACAAGCTACAGAGCCCAAGCTGGATTTAAGTGCTTAGTTTATTGACATATTATAACAAAACATTGTTTAGGTCAATTATAACAAATTATAAAGATCTAAACGTTTCGACCATTTGGTTGTGGTCATCTTCAGTAGTTAGTTCTTACATTAATTATAAAATTCAGAACTTATTACAATAAAAT